GTTTTTTGAAGCAACCTGAGTTGCGTAATTCATTATGAACTTGTTCAGTTCAAATAAAGAAATTTTTTGTGTGAAGATCAGAAATCAGAGATCAAAAAATGTGTGAAAGAAATTAGAGAGCAAGGAAAAAAAGAAAAAATAAATTGATGGCAGTGAGTTTAAGACTAACGAAAAATCAGAGATCTGCTCGATAATCGGAGATAATGGATAATCAAGACTCAATCAGTGAAAAAAGGGTTAAGATCTGCTCGATAGGGTTAAGATCGATAGGGTTGAGATTTGTTCGATATGGTTGAGATCTACTTCTACTCGATAGTTGATGGCACCATTTGACCTTGAGTCTTCAAATTTGCTCGATAGGGCTGAAACATACTTCTACTCGATCATTGATGTCATTCTATAGTCGATGATGGATCCATAGATGAAGAATAGTAGAAGAAAATAGGGGTTTTTTCGTTTGTAATAAAGAGAAGAGAGAAACAGCGAAAATCGGAAGAAAAGAGAGACTGAGATAGTGAAAGTAGAGTTAGTTTGCTTTTATATTTTTGTTTTTTAATTTTTTTAAAGGACATATCCAAACTAGACTCTAGAGTGTATGTGTGTGTGTGTGTGTGTGTCTCTCTCTCTCTCTCTCTCTCTCTCTATATATATATATATATATATATATATATATATATATATTATTAAATACTATTCGGGTGGGTCTGTTATTTCGGGTTTGGACTTATAGGTATCCAAAGCCGAACCGATTTTATCAGTTAATCAGTATTTTCTTCCAAAATTGACCCGTAATAAATATTACCCGCCCAATTTTTTGTTCAAAATGGTCAGTTTCGGATCGATTGTCAGGTTATCGAGTATTTTGCACAACCCTAAATGGCATTGCCCTTAGGATGTTGAGTGCAGGGCATCCAAGAATGATGTTGTAGGTAGAGGAACAGTCCAATACATGGAAGTTCATCATGATGGTAGAACTTCTTGGCACTGTCCTTGTTGTTACTGGCAGGGTGATGGAACCCAAGGGATAAACCCTATCCCCTAAAAAGCCAACAAGGGGAGTTCTGACGGGTTGCAATCTCTCCTTGCCAAGATGGAGGTTGTCAAAGGCTGGTGCGAATAGGATATTGGCTGAGCCGCCGCTGTCGACTAGAATTTTCTTAACCTGATAGTTGGCTATCATAATGGTTAAGACTAGAGGATCATCGTGAGGGATTTGGATTCCCTTGAGGTCCCTATCTGAGAATGGTGATGACCTCTTCTTCCTTGTGTCGAGGTGTCTTTGTTGGGTGAGAGTCATGCAACTCTACCTGCTTGGCTTTTCTGGTGTGTGCTTTCCTGACAAAGTTTGAGTCACCTCCTCCTCCTAATCCTCCAGAGATCGTTTGAATTTCTCCGAGAGGTTGTTAGCACTCTCGGTACTCCTAATTTCTATTAGGGGGTGGGGCCTATCCTCGGCCAGCAACATACTGCCGTAACTGACCATACTAAATAAGCTTCTCGGTTAACTTCTTTAACTTAAAGCAGTCATTAGTGTCGTGGTCATGGTCGCGGTGGAAGCGACAGTATTTGTTTAGATTCCTACGGTTCGGGGCAAACTTCATCTTCCTTGACCAGTGGAGCGTGAGGTCGTCTTGCAACTGGAACAGGATGTGCTCTACCGAGGCATTGAGAGGTGTGAAGGCCTACTATTCTCTTTGGGGTATGGGACCGAGGTAGTCCTTGACAAAGACTCTCTCTTTCCTCTTTCTCTTGTTCTTTGTCTCTCGTTTGTCCTCGTGGGTGTCCTTCCTTTTCTTTCATCCTTAGGGGGACTCACCTTATCGATTTTGGTGACATCGGTATTCATGTACTTCTGTGCCCTTAACAACAGCTCGATCATGCTAGAGGGGCTTCTTCAGGATAGAGAACATAAAGTTAGAGGAGCGCAAGCCTACAATAAAGGCGGTCATGGTTACCTTATTATTTGGCTCCTCGATCNCAACAGCTCGATCATGCTAGAGGGGCATCTTCAGGATAGAGAACATAAAGTTAGAGGAGCGCAGGCCTACAATAAAGGCGGTCATGGTTACCTTATCATTTGGCTCCTCGATCTGGAGAGCCTCCTCATTAAAACGAGTGAGGCAGCTCTTAAGGCTTTCATCTCGGTACTGCTTGATGATGAGTAGGTTGGTAACCAGCTTCTGGTGTTAGCATCCCCTAATGAAGTGGGAAATGAAGGATTTGCTCAGGTCTGCAAATAAGTGGATAGAATAGGGTTTGAGCTTCGTGAACCATTGTCGAGCAGATCCCTTTAAGATGGTAGGGAAGACTCTACACATAATCTCATCAGGCATGTTGTGGAGTTGCATGACAGATTTATATGTGTCGAGATGATCTAAGGGGTCCTTGGTGCCATCAAAGATCTCGGTGGCAGACATCTTGAACTTCAAGGGTAAGAGACAATTGACAACATCCGCAACAAATGGAGTGTTAGTAAGCCTTACCAAATAATCCACCGTTTCTGGTGCCTGTACTTTGATGGCGTTAAAGGCATCACCAAGCTGGTTTTGCACCTTCTTGATCTTCTCGTCTCATTGGTTAGGGACATCCTCTATTGGATAATTGTAGTAGCTTTCATGATCTGGATACCGATTCTCCCCCTCATCCTCCTACCCAGGATGGTCGGCTGCATGTGGAGCAGGTGGGGGTGTCAATGGGCTGGATTACTCAAGGGTCCCGTTATTCAGCCCGAAAAAAATAGGACCAAAATTCGATAGGCCCGATAGTTGGCCCACCTAAGTCTAAGCCCAATTTCCTTAAAAATATAGTTTGGATTTGCCCCCAAACCCATTATCCGACCTGAAGCCTGGCAAAAAAACCCGCCCGCCAAACTAGACCATTAAATTTGAAACTTTGAAATAAGTCTTCCAATGTTAGAATTTGAAGTTTTAAAATTTTAGATACTATAAACAATATATTATTTTATTTTTCATGTATTAAGTATACAAATTTTAAAGGGTAGAGTAATGCAAATGATAAATAAGTGAGTAGGTGTCAACCTAGTTAGGATGTATTCATTTTATTGGATGTAGTTCATCCCCTAATTAAAAATAAAAATATTCATTATTTTATTTTTATCCATTTTGACTCTATTTTGATTTAAAAANTAGTTAGGATGTATTCATTTTATTGGATGTAGTTCATCCCCTAATTAAAAATAAAAATATTCATTATTTTATTTTTATCCATTTTGACTCGATTTTGATTTAAAAATATAATTTACACAAATATTAAGTTAAAAAAATATTCATTATTTTTAAATGTAGTTTTATATAAAAAAGCTCTCATGCAGGCCCACCCATTGGCTCGTAGGTTGGGCTGCGGGTAACCTACCCCTACTCGAAGGTCGGCCCGCCCGATAACTCACTTAGGTAAAGGCTTAGACCTACACTACCCAGGTTCGGTCCGAAAAAAAATTTCACGAGCCTAGCCCGACCTGGCCCATGTGCACCCCAAGGAGCAGGTACATGAGGAGGGGAAACATGTGAGGTACCTGCGAGTAGTGGGTGGACTCATGGTGTTGGGTGTCATAGTAGGGAGCGGATTGGCACCTAAAGTGAGGAGGTTGTGGCACCTCTCCAATTGGAGGGTGTACTGTTCCCATAGGCTGAGGGGCGATGCCTCCCGAGGCGAGCATTAGTTGTATAATTTGTTGGTTTTGACTTACCAACAACTGCATAGTCTCCAAAAGTTGTTGTCCGACCACAGAAATTGTTGTAGTGGACGATTTTGTTGGTGCAGGCGGAAGCGAAGCTTCCTCCTGGCAGGCTGGGTTGTTGTTCTCCGGTTGTTGATTCAACGACATGGTTGTAATTGTCATGGATTTAAAAGAGAATATCAAGGTAGTAGAAAATTCAGTCGTTTCTCACAGACAACGCCAAACTGATGATGCACAAAACAAGTTTATGCACAATTAACAGTAGAGTGTACAGTTCATAATAATTAATGAAATAATCAATAACAAAAGACAATTATTAGGTCAACACATATAGTGGTTCGGTCAGGGAGACCTACTCCACTTCCGAAGGCAGCAACGGTGATCGAAGACTTTTATTAATAAAATAAGGTGTGAGAGAGGGAGAGAGCAAATGTAAGCTCNGAATAATTAATGAAATAATCAATAACAAAAGACAATTATTAGGTCAACACATATAGTGGTTCGGTCAGGGAGACCTACTCCACTTCCGAAGGCAGCAACGGTGATCGGAGACTTTTATTAATAAAATAAGGTGTGAGAGAGGGAGAGAGCAAATATAAGCTCTAGGAGAGGTTGGCTAGCTAGGAGAGAAAAATAGTTGTGTGGAGGTGTGTAGAGAGATGTCACTCTCATGTAGAGAGAACTTATAATTTATAGGCATAGAGCCTTAGTTGAGACAGTAATTTGATGGGCAGGTTATTAGCTTTTAGGATNGATGTCACTCTCATGTAGAGAGAACTTATAATTTATAGGCATAGAGCCTTAGTTGAGGCAGTAATTTGATAGGTAGGTTATTAGCTTTTAGGAGNGAGAGAAAAATAGTTGTGTGGAGGTGTGTAGAGAGATGTCACTCTCATGTAGAGAGAACTTATAATTTATAGGCATAGAGCCTTAGTTGAGGCAGTAATTTGATGGGCAGGTTATTAGCTTTTAGGAGAGGATAGCTACAACTATGATAGGAACAATTAGAGATAGTCTCGATCTTGTAGAGTGACTATCCGGATGATTGCTCCTCACGTGCGCTAATCTTCTTAGACTTCTTGATCTTTGGATTGAGCCGAAACCATGAATATGGCTTGACCCACTTTGTAGCTAATTTAGACTTAATTAATTGGTTGGGCCTCACATAATTGAAATTGGGTTCGTCATTATGCATAGTGAATTCAGAATGTTAGGAACAAGATGGATGTACCTCATACTTAAGACCATACCATAATTGAATATTCATTTGTGGAGATGATCAAATGGAACAAAAGAGAAGTACCTCATACAATTCCAGTGGGTTTTCTTCGGATTGTCTGCACACTCCATTGCTCCAGTTATATGTTTTTGTCCAAGCAACACCATCTTTTCGCTTGATTGGAGGTGGATACCAGCTTATTCGGCGAGCTTGGCTTCTAACTTGGTCATCAATGTACATATAACCTAGAAATTGTTGATTTCTGGACAAAAGGTAAACCCTATAACATATCAGAAAGACTATATAAAAAGAGAGATAGAGACTGATTAGGACCTCACAAAGTTTTGGATGGATAATTGAGAAAATTTTAGCATCTTGGGGAAAAGAGATGTCATTTCCATTACATAATCTAGATTATTCAAGTTTTCAAGCTGTTGAGAAAATGATTAATAGACCCAACAACCAGTTCAAACAAATTAAAATCCTCAAAAAACACTCTAAACAAAACAACAGTACAAACCCTATGATACATACTTCCCTTTTATGCGCTTAACTTACAATGATTGTGTTTTGTGAACGATTACTATATGCACGAACTCATCTCTATGGTTTGTTGGTTTCTTTCATCTCTTTTTCTCTACAAGTAGGTTGAAGCAAAAAAATTGATGGAAGCATACTTCCTGACCCGTGGTGGGAATATGGCAAGTTTCCATTAACAAAATGTAGCATTTGTCAATTGAGCTTTGGGATTGAATACATTAGGCGTTAGCNATAATTGAATATTCATTTGTGGAGATGATCAAATGGAACAAAAGAGAAGTACCTCACACAATTCCAGTGGGTTTTCTTCGGATTGTCTGCACACTCCATTGCTCCAGTTATATGTTCTTGTCCAAGCAACACCATCTTTTCGCTTGATTGGAGGTGGATACCAGCTTATTCGGCGGGCTTGGCTTCTAACTTGGTCATCAATGTACATATAACCTAGAAATTGTTGATTTCTGGACAAAAGGTAAACCCTATAACATATCAGAAAGACTGTATAAAAAGAGAGATAGAGACTGATTAGGACCTCACAAAGTTTTGGATGGATAATTGAGAAAATTTTAGCATCTTGGGGAAAAGAGATGTCATTTCCATTACATAATCTAGATTATTCAAGTTTTCAAGCTGTTGAGAAAATGATTAATAGACCCAACAACCAGTTCAAACAAATTAAAATCCTCAAAAAACACTCTAAACAAAACAACAGTACAAACCCTATGATACATACTTCCCTTTTATGCGCTTAACTTACAATGATTGTGTTTTGTGAACGATTACTATATGCACGAACTCATCTCTATGGTTTGTTGGTTTCTTTCATCTCTTTTTCTCTACAAGTAGGTTAAAGCAAAAAAATTGATGGAAGCATACTTCCTGACCCGTGGTGGGAATATGGCAAGTTTCCAATTACAAAATGTAGCATTTGTCAATTGAGCTTTGGGATTGAATACATTAGGCGTTAGCAGCAATGCAAGTGTCCACATGAAGAGTGTTTTTAACAGTCCCAATAAAGAAGTTAGGGTTAATTTAGTAATTCAAAAGTTTACACTTGACAATTAGACATAGTATATCCACAGTTCGGCCAAGAGAAAAGATCTATACTACTTGAGACTTGAGAGGGAATGTGAAAAGGTTATTTTAATATTGCAATTATTTATCTTTTAAAATTTTAATCTATTGCCTTTAAAATGATGCATTAAAAGTGTACAAGAAATAATCATATGTTTCTCAAGTTGTTAGAGTCTGGGGATGAAATTGCCTTTTAAAAATTAATTAAGCTTAAAAGAAAAACAAAAGCTTTTCACTTCAAGAGACTTTATAAGTAATAACTGGTTGTTGTGCACGTGCCAATGCACGTGGACTATTTTTAGTTTCAAATATGTATTTTATTGTCTTAACAATTATAAAAAATTCAACCCATAAAGTTGCAAGAGACTAATCATAACACAAAACATTCCACTGTAACATTAAAAATGTGATAAATTTGAATCGTTTATATAAGTGTAATATTAAAAATATGACTAATTCGAGTCCAATTACATTAAAAATACTGACTATAATATTAGAAATACAACAAATTCGAGTAATTCATATTTCATATAAATATCAAATAATTATACAAACAATGCAAGACACTAAACAAGTCTAATTTTGGGACCAAACAACACACACAAAAAAAAACAATGGAAAATCTATTCCTTTAATCGAAAGAAAAAGAAATAAATTTTAATTGAAAATTAGAACAACCCAATAATAACAACATTATTTGCTTCTATTATTAGCCTCACTTTACAAAACAATCCAAAAATGGAGTCAACCACCACAATATTTCCTATTGAATTTCACAATGTACCAATAATTTTGAAACTCTAGGTAGACAAAAAGATGTACAAAAGACTTTCTTAACAAGTAAAATGATCAAAAAAATCCACATTAAGGTAAAGAATGCATAGTTTATCAGAATGTCTATTACATAAATTTTCTCTATCAATTAAAATCAAGTCAAAAAGTCATAAATGCTCCTAGTTTTCTATACANTGAAATAAATCCAGGGACTATATTTATTTTCTAATACTATTGGGACATAATGAGTTGTCACTAATAAAATGAAAGTAAAATGTATTTAATGATGAATCTTATTTTAGTATTAAATGAATTCATTATCATATCACTCATTATATTTTCAAATTATGTCTATAAATTATATTTTAATAACATTGCTCATATTTATTCAGCTTGGAAGACAATAGAAGAAGGCCTCTTCTTTCCGGGCTAAGCTAGAATGATTTTGTGGGCTGAATTTGCCTGTCACTTGATTTAGGTCACGGCCCAATTTGATCATATCATTCAGGCTGGTATTTTGGGAAATTTTAAGGCCGGTCTTCTTATATGGGCTTTTTTGAATTTAAATTCATCAAGAAAATTTATTTGTTATAATGTCTATTTTTTGTCAATTTTATCATATTATCTCTNCCGGTGGAAAATAAAAACTGTCATCATAGCTACTAGAATCGGCGGCTTGCTGGGAATTGTCTCTAAGGAACGATAAACCTTATAAAAACATCGAGACCATGGGTAGTGGAATATATACTTGAGAAATTTGGAGGCCGGTCCCTTTATATGAATTTGTTTAGACTTAAGTCCGTCAATGAAACTTATTTGTTATGAAATTCGTTTTTTATCAATTTTATCATACTATCCCTTCCCTTTAAAAGTGAAATAAAACTAAAAATTAAAAATTCTTAAATCTTAGGAGTTTGACTAACATTAAAATATTTTATCTCTCATATCTATCTATATCCATATATATGTTAAGAGTTTAACTAACATTAAAATTTTTCCTCTCACTTATCTATTTATATATAGGTTATATATATGTATATATATAGTAAAATTAAAAATAAAAAATAGTAACATTCAAATACAAAAAAAAGTTATCATTTGGACACAAAAAATAATACATTTAAACACAAAAAAATAGTAACATTTAAACATAAAAAAAATTAAAACATTCAATATTAATATTTTTAAAGAATAACAACAGTAACATGTTCAACAAAAATAGTAACATACTTAAAAAAACTGTAACATACTTAACAACAATTATTTCTCTCAAATTCAAGCGCAAAAAAATAGTACCATTCAATACAAAAAATAGTAATATTCAAAAAAAAAATAGTAACATTGAATACTAATATTCAGGAAAATAATAGTAGTAACATGGTTAACAAAACACAGTAACATGCTCAAAAATAATAGTACATGAACAATAACATACTCAATAAAAGCAGTAACATGAACAGTAACATAATAAAAAAAATAGTAATATGAATTTGAATTTTATTATTCAAATTCATAGTAACTTTTTTTTTTGTATTTGAATGGTACTATTTTTTTTAATATTACTTTTTATATATATATGGATATAGATAGATAAGAGAGAGGAAAAATTTAATATTAGTCAAACTCTTAACCTATATATGGATATAGATAGATATAAGAGAGAAAATATTAACTTCCTTTTACGGAATGATATTTTTGAGATAGAATAAAAAAGTGGACTTAAGTCATTACATATAATTTTAAACATGAATTTAGTCCCTTATAAGTTTCCTTGCAAGACTTATCTCCAAACAAGTACATCTAGGGGGACTCATTTCCAATTTTCACTATATACTTTGCAAGTCTAAACCAAAAGTTCATTCTAGAAGTCTAATACTAATAGTTAGAAGTTAAATTTACTCTAGAAGTCTAAAAGTTAAAACTGAATGAAAAGTATGAAAATAGAGTTTAATATTTGGTAGAGATGGAGTCGTGGAAAATCGGAGGAGTTTTCTTGACTATAGGTATTTTAATGTAGAATAGAAGACGGGAATGAAAGAAAGTAACACTAATTTGATTTTATATAATTGTTTGAGAATAATAAAGGTAATTTCTTGGTTTAATAACATTTTAGAAGTAGTATAGATAGGTATAAATATATTGGTAATCATTGAATTTGTAGGTTTCTTTAAGGGTAGACACAAGATCAATTTTTTATGATTTAAGCCATAAGTGTCTTCATATATTTTTTAAAAAATAAAATAGAAATTCAAAAATTTTTGTATTTAGATCAAATTATTAGTGTGATGTATGATTATCCTTATAATTTTGTTTAAAGACAAGAGAGAAATTCAAAAATTTTTCATCTAAAATACTTTAGATATAGATTTACAGAAAATTTCGCGAGGCACCATGGTCCAAAACAGAGAGACATGGGGTGGCGCCTTTCATACATCTCACCCATCTATTCATATACGCATGAAACACACCCATGGACTTGTGTAGACCGTGACACCCAAGAAAGTAAAAAGAGTAGGCAAGTTCCATTAAATGAGAGAGAATGTTATCAGAATCAAACCAGACCAATGGATCGAACCGAAGAATTGGTGAATCGGGCCCTAGACCAGTTCGGTTAGATAAAAAGGCTGTCTGGACAAGTAAATACATAAAGAATTGTAAAACCGGCGATTTTTGAGAAAACCAATAAACCGGCCGGTTTACAAAGCCAAGCGGTTCAAATATTAAATCATATAAATAAAAAACATAATTTTTTTGGGTAATTTTAGTCCTAAATAAATCAACCAAGCTCCCAGGCTTCTCTTCCATCTTCTCCAGTCCAGACGCACAGCAGCTCAACTCAGGCAAGGGGCCGGGATCGATCTCCTCGATCACTCAGCCACACGAAGGCTCAAACTCAACAAAGGCAATTGGTCTCCCCCTTCTCCTTCCTTCTGTTGTGGGCTTTTCCACCGACTGGCATTAAGTTGTCGCTGTACATTGAGGATTGGTAGAGAGGACCAATTTTTTAACATGGTTTAGAGTTGGTGAACCATGTCAAAAGATTGGTTTGAATTTTTTTGAAATGGTTAACAGAAATTGGGTTGAGAGATGGGTGGATTGAATTTTTTTGACCTGGTTAACAGAAGCTACTGGGTTGAATTGCTGTCTCTCTCTCTGACAAAGCACTCATCTCTCAAATGGTCCACACGTTGAGGGAATCTTAAATCCGAAGCACCAAAAACACTTGTCGTTTTGTGATAAAATAAAGTGTTCTTTGGACGACGTTATATTAACATTTTAGATCGCTCATCGCCTTATGGATTTATTTTGGATAAATTATATTTTATCCTTTGAACTATTTTTTTTGTTTTATTTTGTATCCTTAACTATATATTTTTTTTCATTACACTCTAAAATATCAATTTTATTTTATAACAGTCTAATAGATAACGACTATTAATTTTTTAACGATAAATGCGTATGTGAGTGATCTGTACCGTCAATAAAAAATTATCTATTGCACATATGTTGGTCAAAAATCAAGAAAAATATTCGCTCACGACTTTAAGCTCCAAAATTTTTCCTCTTAATTGACCTTCTTTTTTTTTCCTCGCAATCATTTTGGTAGTAAAATACTAAAAAAGATAAAATAAAATGATACTAGATATTTGACGAATTTTTTTTTGAATTTTTTATCCCTTTTTTTGATAGATTTTTAATAGGGTATTAATCGTATTATTATTATTCGTGTCATGTTTATTTTAAAACAAATAAAAAAAATTTATTTAATATATTTTGAATATTAAACATGAATTTTAAATTATTTATTATATATATTTAATAATTGTGTAAATTTTATAACTCTTCGTATCGGATTTGTGTGACCGGATCAGAGTTGAAGCCCCTAATTGTCTAGATATTAATTCCGGGAATAAAGTATAATCTACTCATTTATTTCCGAGAGAAGATCAGCACTTATTTTCCACCACCATATATTTTTTTGAACCGCCAACCCCAATTACGGCCTTAATTTTTGCCCCAAATCTCAGACGTCTCCCCTAAAACTCCTCTCCCCCTCTTCTTTCTCTCACTGTCGGTCCACTCTCTGTCGCCCTCAACTCCCAAGCGCCCAACTGCCCCCCTCTCTCACAGGTGTGTCGTCTTCTCTTTCGCTGCTACTGGGTATCGAAAACCACCACCACCACCACCACCACCACCACACACACACACACACATATACAAACACACACACGCATGCAGATATGATTTCATCCAACACACCTCTCTCTACTCATCTCATTCCCCCGCTCTCTTCTATCACTTGCCACCGTCCTCATCCCACACCTCTCTCCAATTTGTTGAGTAATTGTTACTGTCCCGTTAGTGAAAATCACTATATATTGATTGATATTTTATGTTATACATTGATTTCAAGAGTAATTTTTTTTACATAGGCAATTACTAGGATTTGATAAATAGCAAAGTAAAGAAATCTAATTTTTTTTTTGGTTGAGCAACCCTAATTGAATGAAATTTGCAAGTTTAATTAGGAATTTAAGATACTACTTTGTGGAATTATGCTTCAATTAATGTGAATGTGATTGGGATTGTGAATTTTATTTGTAATGAGATTGTGATTTTTATTGTGATTGTGGATTTATTATATTTTATAATTTCTTTTATTTTTTTTATCATACGACTGGTTAGACCTAACGTTTGAATCAGTGAACCATTGCCCCGGTCTCAAGATCGAAGTCTGGTTCGGTTCTAATAACATTGCCCTACAGTTGTGGTCAATCAAGGCTGAACTGTTGTGACTTCATTTTACTGCCTTATGGTCTTGGTCTTTAGCCTTTACTCTTTTGCTGAGCATTTGATTTTGGACAGAAACGGTGAGAGGCGTGGAGGCATTAGAGAATGCTGAGCCTAAGCTACCACCAATCTCTCTCTCCAGCAGTACAAGTTCGCGGCAACCATATTGAGTCTTCTTCACCCTTCCCTTCCACTTTCACTCGTCGTCTGAACCTCAACTACATCACATCGTCTTCTTTGTCTTGGATGCTAAAACAACACAGTCCTCCCATGTTGCCATGCAGAGCATCGCTCGAAGTCCAAAGCACTTCCAATAGGTACCATATCTATTTTTTAATACCTAAAACATATCTAAGGGGGGTTTGAATTAGAGTACCGGAGTTGTTTGATATTTCAAAGTGGAACTGAATGGTTCTTGATAATGTCTGTAGGAACAAGGATTTACCCGTCCATGGAGTGTCGGAAACGGTTGTGGGTGTGTTAGGAGGAGGACAATTGGGTCGGATGCTATGCCAAGCAGCATCCCAGATGGGAATCAAGGTAATTGTTTTGGATCCTATGGAGAACTGTCCGGCAAGTGTATTAGCTCATTATCATATGGTGGGAAGTTATGATGATAGTGCTGCAGTTGAAGAGTTTGCAAAAAGGTTGGATTTGAATTGTATTGATGCACATTAGGTTTTTTACTTTAATATTTGTTTGCAAAACACTTCTAATTTCAGAAATTTTTACTTTTTTATGGCACTTTAACATCTTTATTCCTTAATTTAACCAAATGACGGTATTTTTATGAAAGCGGTGGTTGAACCCACACTTTTTAGGGTAAATCCGTGTTTCGTGTTTCAGTGAAAAAAGCTTACAAATGCGCAAACAAGCTTTTACATTGAAAAACGTGAGTTCAGTTCACGACCCATGCTTTCATAAGGACTAGTGCAGTTTGGTAAATAAGTTCAAAAAAATGGTAATATGGAAAAAAAAAGAAGTTAAAAAGGGATGGTATTTTAATCATTGATTCTCTAATTTCATTTTGTTGGTTAGTTTTTTACTAGCTAATTTTGAATTTGGTTAGTTAGGTGTGGAGTGTTGACGGTTGAAATAGAGCATGTTGATGCTGCCACTTTGGAGAAACTTGAACAACAAGGGGTGGATTGCCAACCTAAGGCCTCCACTATCCGAATTATCCAGGTGTGTTTTTTTGTAGTACGAATCAAATTTGAGTATAATTATGCAATATGTGGTCCTTCTTTTCTTGCCGTTGTTCATGCAACACTGAGGGATCTTGATTCTTTTTCTTAGTCATGATTGTCAATTTCTAAATGCTGTAGTTGTGGTTATTGGCATATTTGTTTTTGAAAAATATGTTGGTGAATCTTTGAGATGGCTACAAACTGCAAGGATTTATCTCTGGATTATTTTTGGCGTATTTTGTCATTTAAGAAATCACCATTGGTGCGACCTTCATGAAGCTGTGTCTTCTGCTATTACCCTTGTTTTTTTACTTCAGAGTTAATTGAATGCCTTACTAACTATTGTCACAAACACAGCTGTATGTTTTTCTTAATCAATATTCCAATCAATAATTTTGGAACTTCCATTCTTTTTGTGTGGGAAACAATATTTATCACAAGGTAGAGAAAACAACCCCAAAGGGGAGTGGTGGGAGAGAAGTTTTGTAAATGAGAAGAATCTTGAAGAACAACAAAAGTTATGATATGCTTTTTTACATAGCAGCTTTTGTACTCGTAGTTCTACAAGGACAAGTGGCCTGCCTCGTTTTGCCTGAACATGTTGAGGCTGTCAAAATGGAATAGCAGATGAGGGCCAAATGCCTGTATTAATACATTCACAAATCCATCATGAAATTTAATTTCTCATTTTGATGTGCTAAATATATGGACAAGAGAACCTCCTTTTGTGCCCAATAGTTTGTAGCGTTTTTATTTGTTCCAAACCTTACATATTTGAATGTATAAGTGGACTAATGGTGTTGGAACCAAGCCTGATTCTCTTTTTTTCTATTAGATCTCAACTTAGGATCATTGAAGCAAGTCCAATAGTGTTTAGATTCTTGGGCTGGAGATTATTAAGTTTTTTGATTCTATACCGAGTATTGGATTCATCCCTATCTCTTTGATTCTATACCAAGTATTGGATTCATCCCTATCTCATTAGACACAGACACGGACCTGGACACGTCATTTCTCAAAAAACGGACGCGCTACTTCTCAAAAAAATAGGATACGAACACGTTAGGGATACTCTATAAAAAATTATATTTTATATATAACATTATATGATTTATCGCAAATATAGTGATACTAATATTCAATTAATAAAAAAATTCAATATTTTATGATAAGTAAATCTTATGCATAGTCATTTGTGTGAATTTTTAGACTAAAACATTATCATAATAGTCAATAATCATCAATTTTTTTTTTTGTAGACAATGTATACTTAATATATAATTTAAATAATTGTTCTCCTTTTCTCCTTTTCTCATTTTTAAAATTTTTATGCATCTTTTATTTTTATTATTATTTTTGGAGTATAACTTTAATATGCTGTAAAAATTTTAAACTTTATTAATCATATTTCAACATATGTTTATTGTTTAATAGTAGATACGTTCTAAAGAAGTGTCGGACACGTGTCCGAAATTAAAATTCTTTCATTTAATTATGGTTATGGATAAAAGACTTTTGGACACGTATCCGAAGAGTGTTGGTATCTGAAACGGATACGTCACATTCTCGAGAGTGTTCGTGCTTCATAGTCGTTGAGTATAGTCCTATTTGATTCTTTTTTCTTTTTGACGAAAATCCTATTTTACTGGTAATAATATAAAAAAGGTTTTTCTTTTGAAAGTAAATCCTAGTTATCATTTAATCCGCTAACTTTATATAACTCCTTGGACCTTGACATACCAAAGAGGAGTTGTAGTCATTGAAATTCTTGAGGGTTTGAGTTTAATGGTAGCCACCTTTTACAAGTAAAATCTGATGTTGGACCTGAACTAGTCCATCCCTCCCAACACCCCAAGGGACCAAGGTAATGAGTCTGTCATAGTTTGTTCACCCTCTATATCCTGACTTCGACAACCTTTTTTTTTATGATAAGACTGACTTTGACAAGTTTGGTGTTGAGAATAAGTTCAATTGACTCAGCAATGTGCTGAATATAATCGTTTCCCTCCTAAATAGATGAACATATCATGAGTGGTAATTTGATTTAGCTTACTATTAACCTTGGATTCTGGTAACTTGCTGAGCTTATCTTTATAAATTGTTCCTTTCACAGGATAAATACCTTCAAAAAGTTCATTTTTCCCGGCATGCTATTCCATTACCTAAATTTATGCAGGTTAGCTCCTCTTGATGAACAACCAGTGGCCAATTTGACACTTCCCTGAAATGATTAGTTAATATTCTACTTTTTGACAATTAAATGTGGCAAAGACAGATAGATGATTTTGAAAGTGCTCAAAGAGCAGGTGACTTTTATGGATATCCTCTTATGATAAAGAGCAGAAGGCTTGCTTATGATGGGCGTGGCAATGCTGTTGCTAAAAGTGAAGAGGAGCTTGCTTGTGCAGTACATGGTAACCTTTTTATAATGCTTAAAGTAGGTGAAATGTGCAAAATTTCTATTGCTATGTTGCTAAAGTTTTTAGTTTCATAGAACAAAATATATAGTAGGCAGAAATAATGTGTTATTAAGTATGGAAAAAACAAGAAGCAAGGAAAAATTTAAAAGATTCAAGCTTGTAAATAATACTTACAAAATAATAAGAGAATTTAGCTATCCGTCTTGGTTGTTGTTCTACATTAGATATTGAGGAGGGAGAGGCAACAAACACGCATGAACCATTTTACGTAGTATGTGTCCGGATAGACCAAAGTCTCAATAGTTAGCTTGCGAGTGAAAATTCAAAGGCCATCATGCAAATTGGGGAAATGTGAAAAATTGCTTGGAGAAGTTATGAAATGAAAATTACAAAGAGGGCTTAGGTGTGGAAGAATTTATTAGCTATTGGGAGATTAGAGGAAAGAAGTTATTTTACAAAATATGAAAATGTGTTACAGAAATACAAATAGAAAATTTTTAGAACCTGATTGTATGCCAATTTAAGTATCAAATGTTTAGGTGGATATTAGAGTATTTTTTTAGCTCAACAAAATTGTGGCCCAACCAATTGGCTTGAACTACCTGTTTTAGCTTCTTGTTGGATGGATGACCAGATTTTATGTTAAACGACATGACTAAAAAACACGAACATGGACTTGGACACGAGATAGATATATGATACAATACGGACATGCAGACACGACATTTCTCAAAAAAGTAGGACATAGACACGTTAGGGACATGTTATAGATAATTGTATGTTATATATAAAATTATATAATTTGTTGCAAATATAGTGATAATGATATACTATTCGTAAAAAATTCAATACTTTAAGGTAAGTAAATGTTATGTCTAGTTACTTACCAAAAAAAATTGTTATGTTTAGTCATCTAGTGTGAATTTTTAGACTAAAGCATTATAAAGTCAAATAATCAAAAATTGTTTTGTTGACAATATGTACCCAACATATATAGGTTAAATGATTGCTCTCATTTTTTCAATTCTTTTTGTTTAAAACTTTTATGCATCTTTTATTTTTATTATTATATTTTAAGTACAACTTTAACATGTTTAGTCTTTGAAATTATTTGTTTTCTCATAGTAGAAAATAATTATTAGTCATTTTTTTAATCTTTATTAGTCACATATCAACACATTTTTATTGGTTAGTATTAGACACAATCTAAAGAAGTATTGGACATCTGTCTAAAATTAAAATTTTATCATTTAATTATGGATATGGATAAAAGATCATCAAACACGTGTTCGAAGTGTGCGATCAGTGTTGGTGTCTGACATGGATATATTACATTCTCCAGGGTGTCTGTGCTGACATGATATCATATCAGTTTTATTATTCTATTTAAAGTAAATTTAGGTTTATAATAAATATATCAATTTAAAAAATGTCGATGTGTGAAGGAAAAATATTTTAGTACTTTTATATGACATGCATCCAATTATTGAGTCATATAATGAGATTTTTTCAAGAAATTATCTGACAACGATTAACATTTTATATAGTAATCAGGTTTGTATTTATGTATTAGAGGTCAATAAAAAAAGTCTTATTTTTTTTATTGACCTACATAAGACATATGATAGATTTTTAGAAATCTAAAGTGATGGGTTTTAGGGAACAAAAGAGTTGATCATAGGTGTATATATATATACTAGGTGCACACAAGCGTATCACTTTGAGTTAACATAAAAAAAATAAAGGACAAACTTCATTTTACCTCCCTATAGTATTACCCAAATGCACTTTACCCCTTTAACATTTAAAAACCTCCACATAATCCCCATATGATTAGTGGACTAACCTGCAAAGTTAGATTTTCCGTCCAATTTAATAGGTTTTGGGAGCCACTCCCTACAAAAGAGGGTGTGAAAAATATATGTCAAAATGACAAAACTGTCCTCACCTTCACCTTCAGTCTCTTTCTCTATTTCTCTCTCTGTCTCCTTGCCGGAACCATCTCGCCACCACCCTAAGTCTTCCTCTTCTCTTCATTCATCTCTCCCTGTTTGAACCATCACTGATTCATCAACTTCAAAAAACCATGTAAGAAATCCAAATTATTGAAAAAAAAAAAGTGTTAAATTTGGTTTTCAAGAATGGAGTAGAGAGAAAAAAAATCTGCAATCTCTATTTTGCTATGGATTTTCAGTGGTGGTGGTGCGAAGGTTTTTGCGGAGGGGGTGGAGGAGATTATGTTTGCCATTAATGTTGAGTGGTGGGTGTTAGCTGGAGAAGGGAAGTGGTCTGTTGGAGAAGGGGAGGGGTTTGTTAACAGAGACAAAGACACACACACACACACACACACACACACACAGAATAATCGACGACTGATGTAGTTGGGTTTGAATCTGATGTGCAGTGGGGGCTGGTGGAGTTGGGATTGAATTTTCTATGTGAATTTTCTGTGCAACTTTTCTTAATTTTGTTGGGTATGGCATAAAATTGGGTAGGACAAAAGGGAAGGAAGATTGGTCCCAAGGAACTTTTTCGACATTGGTTTTCACTCCTCTAGGAGCTTTTTTCAGACTAGAATACCAGTGCCTTCTATATTCCGATGGCTTTCACTACACCGTGTCAAAGCTGCCTCAATTTTTAAAGTTCAATGGAGAAATTGAAGTTTAATGGCTGCCTTTTTTTTTTTGGTCAGACAAGTTCAATGGCTGCCTCAATTTTTGAGATTTAAGAATTTGATTTCACTCCACTGTGTCGAAGCTATTTGTGGTTAGTCACGGTGACAAAGAAGGTTGAAGGCGACTGAGAAGAAGAAGAAAGAGAAGTGGGGAAGAAGTGACAAAAGGGTATTAAGGCCATTTTATTGTTTATGGTGCACAGATTAGTTCACAAAGATTGTGAGGGTTGTGTGGACATTTATAAAACACTAGGAGGTAAAGTACATTTGAGGTATATCACAAGGGGTAAAGTGAAGTTTGCCCAAAAATAAGTGTATGAAGAAAAAATTATCTTTGTTGTTGCACATGATCTCCGTCCGACAATGCAAGGCAAAGAACTCATTAATCAACAAAAAATTATAGGTTATAACTTATGCCTATTAGAAAGTGGTAGAACATCTCAACCAACAATCCATCACATTCCAGATTGTACATGATTGAACTTTGGCCATAGTCTCGAGAATCTAGACCCTCTTATTACATAATCTTGGACTTTTTAGACAGATTATCAAAAGAAGATACAATTAATTAGTAATCATGTGTAATCACAAAAAGGTGCAAGTAAAAGAATAGGAAAACAAGAAAATGTAAAGCAGTCAAAACTAATGGATCCTGGTGTCATCATATGGAGTATCTGGTGTAGTGATTCTTGTTATCTCACTGATGCAAGAGGAAATTTATGACTTGCGACATCTGAATGCTTTAGAAGTTCGTTTGCAAACCAACACCTTCATTGATGGAAAAAGTACAGATGAGTTCTTCAACCTCAATAGAAAATTCTCAACTTGCTTAAGAATTCAAACAAGAATAAAAAACATTGTGTAAATGCACTTAAAATAAGTCCATTGAGAGAAAAATAACGAACTCAATCATTCCTGACATAAATGTTATTAAGTTAAAACAATAACTTGGGAAAATCCATTTTTGGATTTAAAATTAGCAAAAAAGAAGCCAGATTCACTCATTCCCACATCATTTGCTATCATATAACTTAGCAATTTAGCGGCGAAATCTAGAACTAACCAAACTCGTTTACCAACAACTCAACAAATCAGAATGTGGTGCGTGTAATCAATAGTTATTTGATATTTGTTAATCAATTGAAGATCTACTTAAACTATTAAAACATTTGATGCATCTAATCCAACACTTGCATATATTCAACTCATTCTCTTAACATTTGAAGCTGTTAAAGTTTAAAAGTTCCCTACCATACAAGACCGTTCCTTTGGGTGGCTTGAATTGGAGGGGATGAGTTTCAGCAGTTGTCATTTTATCCTCTTTCCACATCCTAATGGTCTTGTCTGCGTCACAATTTGTAATCCTCAAACTTGTAATGTCATGCACAAGAGAGCATGGATCCCAGCTTGACTATGGAGTGAACCTTAGAGAAAGTAACCATATAGATTGCCCTCTATGTTCAACAAACAGGGGAAGAGACGATGACATGAATCTAAGGTGCGTAAGATACATACCAGGGCTTGCTGAAAAGTGCAACCACTATTCTAGTCCCAAAAAAGCAGAAGACATCTTTGGGTGGCTTAAATTGAAGGGGATGAGTTTTAGCAGTTGTCATTTTATCCTCTTTCCACCTATTAATGGTCTTGTCTGTGTCACAATTTGTAATCCTCAAACTTGTAATGTCATACACAAGAGAGCATAGATCCCAGCTTGACTATGGAGTGAACCTTAGAGAAAGTAACCACATAGATTGCCCTCTACATTAAACAAACAGGGGAATAGACCATGACATGAATCTAAGGTGTGTAAGATACATACCAGGGCTTGCTGAAAAGTGCAATCACTATTCTAGTCCCAAACCACATACTTCAGTTGTCAGCTTTAACAACGAGAAATAAAAAAGAGAAACAGAGCTGAGATTTGCATTTTATATCAAATGCTCTTAATTTTATTTCAGAAACAAATAAAAAGTAGTTTGGAATTTGAATTTGTGCATGAGGCTTAGCCCCAACACAACAACATTAACAAAATTCTTAGGTCCCATTTTCTTCTTTTTGTAATAAAGGAGTTGTCTTGACATCAAAGACCAACTGATTCCAATGCATTATAAATGACACTTGAGTAAATAATTCTATTTGCAACTAAAATATTCTCACCTGTTGTGTACAAGACACCCTCTTCATTGACGGGGCTGTGCATCGATGATGTTCTTATGGTGAGAGATGCACAAGAAAACATGACCAATGTCAACTTGATATATAGTCTTTGTTTATCAAATTTGATAAACGAAGACTTCATGAACAATTTTTTGTAAATTAA